CGGGATGTCAGTACCATTTTTGGACACCTGCCAACCAAGGGGTAGAAACAGGTGGCTTTTAGAATACCTAGGAAAGCTTGACATTGTATTTTCAGACTAAAGATGGTGTGAATGTGTGAGCATGCACATGTGAGCACATGTGCAAATCCAGGACCGTAATGAAAGAGAATCTTCCCCAAGGGGGTTTGCAGTGGATGCTGTGACTAATACATTCACTGATGAAGATGCTCTTCCACAGTTCAGACGAATAAGAACGAATTATGAATCTTTCCAGAAGGAATTCATTTCTAGACCCCTCCTTACCCTTCAGATCTCCATCGCCTGCCCTAGAGTCTTAGCTGAATAGCATGAACCTGTATCCATCCACATATATTTATACATCTGGCTTAGAGCCACAACAGGGAAGAACGTACAGCAGGAAAGTACTTGCACTTTCTCAGGCCGAGATAGTCCTTTGCCTCCATCCAGCCTGGATCTTACAGGCATCCATTAAAGAAAACTGCAGGCATTTCTGCAACTACATAGGAATTGTGTCACATCTGTATGTGCTAGAAGGAGTTCAAGGGCATCAATATTCCTATTGTAATACATCTGCCCAGTGCTAGCAGCCTTACTTAAACCTATCAAGAGCCTAAGGAATAAAGATATGCACCAGCCTGGGCAACAAGGTGACGCCCCGTCTCTACAAAAAATACGAAAATTAGCCAGGCATGGTGGCAACTGCCTGTAGTCCCAGCTACTCTGGAGGCTGAGACAGAAGGATGGCTTGAGCCTGGGAGGCAGAGGATGCAGTGAGCTGTGATCGCTGCACTGCACTCCAGTCTGGGTGACAGAGCAACACCCTGTCTCAAAAAAATAAAAATGTGCATAGCTACATAACAATATGCAAATATTCTTCTTTAGGGCCACTTGGTCTTTAACGTAGAGAGCCAAGAGAACATACAGAGACTCATTCTCTCTCTTTTCATCACACACACACGCACACACACACACCCGTCTCCACTATAATTATAATTACTATGTTGGCTTCCAGATCAGGGTTTAGAGCCTTGGCATAGAGACGCCTGAAAGGCACCCAAGGCAATTAGTGGTATCCCTCCTCCACCCCCTACATACCTTCAGGGGCTTTGCACTTGCTGCTCCCCCTCCCAGAGCACACACCCCCAGATCCTGTGTGGCTGACTCTCCCATCACATTTAAGTCTTAGCTCAAATGCCACCTCCTCAGAAATGCCTCGCCTGGCTGCCTCCAGGGCTGTCTATATGCTCACCAGCTTTATTTTTCTTTAGGAAACTTTCCATCCCCAGGCATTGTGCTAAACGTTTATTTGTTATCCATCCATGCCGGCACTCACCCCTTGCCGGCGCTCACTGTGAGCTCCATGAGGCTCCAAGATTACAGCCACATGCCCAGAGCTAGGGTGGTGACTAGCTCACAGCTGGCATCCAGTCAGTAGCAATGGAATGAATGAAGGATCACCCTCCCTTCCTCTCCATCCCCGCCCTCTCCTTTCTCTCACTTCCTCTCCCGCCACATCTCCCCTGCTTCCGCCTTAAGTCTGCTGGCAGAACCAGCCTCAGGAAGTTGTCAGGCAGGGGAGGTGTGTGCTCTGTGCCTCTCTCCTTCTATCTCTCTTTCCTGCCTCCCTTATGGGTACCTATCTCTCCTACCTGCAGCTGCCCACTGCCAGCTCTGGCCTTCTTGGTGGGCAGAAGCTTAGGCACCCCAGACAATCGTAGAGAAATTGGGCATTGGAGGGTGGCAGTAGGAAAGGATTCAGTACATGTCAAGGAATGATGAATTGAATCTTTCCCACCCACGCATAACCATGCTCTTGCAGAGCTTGGGTTCCATCTTTAAAGCAGAACGCCATTCCCAGCACCCTTCAGCACGCATGACTCAGGAGTTGGTGCTGCCACTATAGGGACTCAGCCCCTCTCTTCTCATGATTCATTACCTAGGTTCTTCCTGCAGTGATTTGCAGTATCTATTTTATTTTATTTTACTTTTTTGAGATGACGTCTTACTCTGTCGCCCTGGCTGGAGAGCAATGGCATGATCTCAGCTCACTGCAACCTCCACCTCCCAGGTTCAAGCAATTCTGTCTCAGCCTCCCAGTACCTGGGATCACAGGCGTGCACCACCATGCCCTGCTAATTTTTGTAGTTTTAGTAAAGATGGGGTTTCGCCATGTTGGCCAGGCTGGTCTTGAACTCCTGACCTCATGTGATCCACCTGCCTCAGCCTCCCAAAGCGCTGGGATTACAGGTGTGAGCCACTGCTCCCAGCCAACAGTATCTGGCTCTATCCCCAGTCTCGCTTGTGTAATCAGCTTAGACAGAGAGAGTTGCTATGTGCCAGCCCCATGCGTGCACCACCTCCCCCACCCGACCCCACCCCACCCGGCGTGCTCTCCTCTTGCTCCCTCTCCTTCTGCTATCTCTCCTTACTGCCCTTCCATATCCTAGGCAGCCTTCAAAGCTCCCTTCTCACTTCCCAGGGCCCCACAGACGCCCTCCATCCCCTCTGGTCTCTCCATTCTGGTGGCAAAACATCACATACTTCACACTGATACCTCTTTCACTCATTTCCCACTTGACTCCCCAGCAAGATTATAAACTGCTTGAGAGTGGGAGCTTTGTCTTATCCTCAGAGAGCTAGTGTGTGTGTGTGGCAGTGGGGGGGATAGTAGGGGGGAGGAGTTGGGGGGTACCTATTTCCTTCTATCCTTCTGTCTTACTCTCAGACTATTAATACAAGCCCTGAGTCTGGCTGTACCCCTGGAACAGGTGCCCCGCCCCCTACAACAAAATGCTGCCCCTCCCAGCTAGGTCTGTTGTTTGTTCCTTTTCTGATTGGCGCCAGGCTCATAGACCCCATATAAGTAGAATATAACTTTCCATAAATAACCTCTAACCTGACCTACAATTTAGCCTTTGGGTTTTTTTTCCCCCTGGTGGTAATGGGATTGCAGCCTGGGCTGATCCATCCTGTACCTTCAGGTTTCAGAAAGCAGACCCCAGGTCTGGGCATGGCTTGGAATTCCTGGTCCCCCCATGTTGCCTTGTACACGGCGAGTACTCGGACTGTCTTCCACCTTTCCACATGAGCAGCCGTGCACTTGCAGTCTTTGCTTGGGCTGTGCCTTCTCTACCCGGAAAATCTCTAAGCAGCAGCCGCTTGGTGAATCCTTCCCTAACCACTATCCCTCATCCCCTCCACAGAGCAAATTACTCCTGTCTTGAGTTCACATAACACTTCATACAGAACAGTGTGACCTGATTATTGCCCATGCACCCACCAGGATCTGAGCAGCTCAAGTGAGGGGCAGGGCCAGGTACTGAGCCCAAGTGTGGCTGTGGGCAAAATACTGAACCCCTTGGTGCTTCAGTCTCCTCAGATTCAAACACCAACCTGGGGCTGGGCGCAGTGGCTCATGCCTGTAATTCCAGCACTTTGGGAGGCTCAGATGGGTGGAACACTTGAGGTCAGGAGTTTGAGACCAGCCTGGCCAACATGGAGAAACCTGTCTCTAGTAAAAATACAAAAATTAGCCAGTTGTGACACTATACACCTGTAATCCCAGCTACTTGGGAAGCTGAGGCAGGAGAATCACTTGAACCTGGGAAGGCAGAAGTTGCAGTGAGCCGAGATCATGCCACTGCACTCCACAGTAAGACTCTTTCTCAAAAAAAAAAAAAAAAAAAAAAAAAAAAAAAAAAAAAAAAAAAAAAAAAAAAAAGACCCACAAACCTGGCCCAGAGCCTGTGTCCCCACCCACTCGACTGCACTGCCTCTCAGGGCTGGAAGATGTCTCTGCTTCCTACCTGCCCTCATATTCCAAGGCCTGAGAAACTCATGATGCATGGAATTTCTGCAGATGCTCCCTGAGGCCTCCTCGGGGGCTGGAGCCACAGGAAGGAACTGGCCACTGATACCCACTCATACCTACCAAAGACTTGATGATGATGATGAATTCAAGTAGCTTATTGGGAGTTAAACAGACAAGTCATGAGGAGGGACCTCAGCTTTCTTTGGGGAGTGGGTTCCCCAAGGTAGGCTGGACTTAATTTAAAGCTTTCCAGCTGACCAGCCCATCTTAGGGCAACTAAAGAGTGACTTTGAAGTTACTCTTTATCTGACGATGCTAACTCAGCTAGCATCCAGCACTATGAGACACCCTGGGGAGGTGAGACTTTGAGAGAAGTTCAGGACGCTGGCCCTGCTTTTGAAGATCCTACGTTTTCACCCGAGAGGCATAAAATCCATACTTGGAGGAAGACGAAGCTGCCTTTGAGTTGGTCCTGAATCGTACTTGGCTTCATGTTATCTATGCCAGTACTAAGCAGGGGTTGGCCAGGCTGGTCCTCCATGAATGATTGTCAAATGGAAAACAGAATTAGGAACCAAAGTCCTGGTGTGGACGAAAGGGGCTGGAACCTCAGAGGGGAGAGGATCATGGGAGATGGAAAATCTCCGGAACATTGGGGGACAAGGTAACAAGTAATGTGAATCCTGAAGAAAGAGGATTAGTTATTGGGGGTGATAAGTGTAGATGGCGAACTAAGGAAGCAGGGACCTGCATGACCATTTGGAGTTGGTAGGAAGCTTGGCAGAGCAGGAGGTGGGAGTCAAGCAGGAAAGGCCTCCGTGTCAGACTGGGAAACCTGCACTTGATCCTGGGCAAGGGAGAGCTATTGAAGGCTCTTGAGCAGGGGAGTGATACAAAGAGAACAGCATTTTTGGAAGCCAGCATGGAGGGCAGGCTGCTAAAAGGAGACAAGGCTGAGGTTATGACAATGCCCTGGGTGAAGAAATGAGGTCTGGGTTTGGAAAGGAAGGGACAAACATGACTTTTCAAAGGAAGACATAATTGCCACAAGGGCCACCAGAGAGCCGTCAAAGGTGTGTCCAAGGTTTGAGCCCTAGTGACCAACAGAAGGGTGTCAACTTTGACATAAATGACATTGTGTGTGGTCAACAAAATGAGACCACATCCGTTTGGTCATGATTCATCGTCTTTATTAACAATGTCTCTGGCCTGGAAGAAAAGACTGTTATTTCATAAGCAATATTAACATTGCCATTCTCTACAAGAAAAACTTTTGCATAAATAACTTAAGTGAGAAAATAAATATGTAACTTAACTCTTTAAAAACCACTACTTTCATTCTTGTGGACAAGTCCCACGTGGAAGGATTGTAAGAACCGACCAGTCCTGCAGGCTTTCGTACGGCATGTGCTTCTGTTTAAAACATTTTTTAAAAAAACAAAAGCTACACAGAAAGTAAGAGGTTGTCTGGAAATGATTTTCAAAAAGATTTTTGGGTGGCAGCTATTATGCTCTGCAGTCGCTCAGCATATGTACAGCACTTGTGATTTTTCTCCCAATAATATTCTTTTAGTGTAAGAAATGCCGTCACATGTAAGAGGAGGAGGAAGCCATTTTCTAGGCAGAAATGTGTCTGTGAGCGGTGGGCAGAAGGTGGCATCTCAGAAGGGATGTGCTGGTCTGGGAGGGTGTGATGGCTGCTCTCTCGGGCCGGCTAGACCACTGTCCTGGGACCTTGAACTTCTCTTCAGAAGGTGACTGTAAAATATGGCTGTGGGTCGGGGCAGGGATGCTGCTCTTTGAGAAGTTGCGGGGGAGGGGGGGATGTGATTTCTATTCCTCCCACCACCTTCAGGACCCTCTCCTTCTCTACCCCAGTGGATGATGTTATTCCTTTGAGATGGAGGGGTGGAGGTAGCCAAACATCTGGGGAGGCCAGGCTGGGAAGCAACATAGCTTCTTCCAGGGGTTTGTCAGCCAGAAATAGACTCTTTACTCTTTTTTTTTTTTTCTGTTTGTTTTTCATCTTTGGCTGTCAGATGAGAGCATCACAACTCTGAATTCTGAATCCTGGAAGTGACATTGGCATTGAGTCAATGCAACCTCATTCATTTATTCTCTCTCTCTCTCATCTCTGCCCATTCAAAAGGCACTGGAGTGCTTGGACTCATATGCCAGTAGACCCCTCGAGATCCTAAACCCACCTGCACCCTCATTTTACAAAGTGGAAATCGAGGTCCCAAAAGAGAATTGTGGAGTTCAAGGTTACACAGCAAGTTAGTGGCAGAGCCAGGACTAGAAACCACATCTACAGATGCCCCTAGTCTTGTGCTCTGGGCACGCCACAGGCTTTCTGATGGGCAGTGAGGTGCAGGGGGAATCCTATCCAACTTTATTAACCTGTCCCTGGACTTGTCACACTCCCATACGGCTCTCTTAAACCCCCAGGGCCGTGAAAACGCTTCCAATTCTGCCTCCTCTGAAGTGGGACCAGCAAAGGTAGGCGACCCCGGAGGCGGGGCTGCGTGGCTCAGTGTCTGTGACTCTCAACTCCCTCCCCTACCCCGCGGGACCCCTCAGCTGGCCGGCCGAGGTGGGCCTTGCCGGTGCCCGGGATGCCACAAGGCCTGGAAGGTCTGGGCCCCCTGCCCTGGGTTGCAGGCATTTACAATGAAATATAAACAGTCGAACCACGCGCAGAGGACAGAAACGTGGGGCACAGGGCCGGGTCGCCCGCCACAGGGTGGGGTGCGGGTGGAGTCTAGTAGGCGTTCTCCAGCTCAGCCTGGTTGGCTTTGGTGCCCCGGGCGCGGGGCCGAGGCTTCCGGCCCTTCTGCGGCCTCGCGGCCTCGGGCCCGAAGTCCTTGAGCTCCGACTGGTTGTGGAAGCGGGTGAGGCGCTTGCACTTGCACGAGGCCACTAGGCGCACCTTGCGCGCGCGCGGGGCCGCACCGCCGGGACACAGCAGCTGCACGCGCTGCGCGCGGTAGCGGTCGGGGATGCAGCGAAAGTCAGGCCCGCTCGGGCGCCACCACTTGCCACGGCCGATGGCGTTGGGCAGCAGGCGCGCGGGGCCGCACTGGCCGGAGCACACCAGCTCGGTGACCGGCTTGGCGCTGCGGCACGGCCCGTCGGTCACGTAGCGGGTGAAGTGCAGCTCGCGGCAGCTGTACTCGGACGCGTCTGCGGAGAGAGACACGCGTGAGGGTGGCCGCCCACCCGGCCACCACCACCCTGGCCCGGCCCGGCTCCCTCCACCCCAGTCCTGCTTTTGCAAAGCCTGCCTCTCCCGGTCTCCAGAGGCTTTTGCCCCTGGACACCTGTTGCATGAATGTCCCAGATCCTCTAGAGCTGGTGGAAAGCCCTCCTGCACACCCTGTCTCCTCAGAGCCAAATGACTGCTGGGGTGCAAACACCAGGGCTCCATCGCTCACTGCAGGTGTCATCTTGGGCAAGTTCCTTAACCCCTCTCTTCCACTCTGTAAAATGGGCCGCCCCAAGCATTGTGAGTTAATCCATTAGGCAGGCAATGCAGAGAATACCACTTGGCACATACAGCTGGAAGCATCAGCTGTTATGATGTATTATTATTACTATTATTTTTCTCCTCGGGATCCTCTTATGATTTAAGCCACACTTATGCCGCAGGGACCCTGGCCTGGGCAGCGTAAGTAAGTACCCGCCACACCTTCTCCCTGGCTCTGGTTTTCCCCAAATTCCTTTTCCAGCCACTTGGGAGGGGTGAACAGGAGATGGAGAAAAGAGTAGAGGTTAATTGAAGGTAATAAATCAGGGCAGCTGCTGTGGAGGTGACAGAAGGGGAGGTGATCAGGACAGGAATTCATTAGACTTGAAAGGAATCAAAGGCACAGTGTCCAACCCCCTTATTATCAATGAGAATACTGAGGCCCAGCCACAGAAGGCAGGGCTGCACAATCCAGACCTCACTTCCCTGGGGTTGCAGCACCTTTTGGCTCCCATAAGAGTGGAGGCTCTGTGTTGGAGCACCAGTTGGAAGCTGCGCTGGGGGTCGGAGCCGAGGGCTGCTTTTTACTCTAGTTAAGGCCTGAGCTCTGACCAAAACCTACAGGTTCAGCTGCCACATACATTTACCCAGCTGTCTGCTGGGCACATTTCTTGCTCTGTGTTATTTGGATGGGCACCTCATGGTGATACTCCCTGTGCAGGCAGAGATTGGGTTCAGAGGAATGACCTCATCCCCTGCGCACACCTTGACCGTGTCTCTTACGGTGGACTTAGATGTGTGGGAGTTTTTTAAATAGCTGGTCCTTGTGTGAGTACTAGTCCACCCCCAGAGGTTTCATAGGGATAGTTGCAATGTGACACAGAAGAATGAAAAATAGTCTTCAGACCAAACCAGAGAGGGGGCAGAGAAGGCCACCCCCACCCTACCCCCACTCTGGAGAGCAAGCACAGCAGGGGAGATGTGGCCGCTGCCATTGTCTGGGGTTGCTTTCTGGTTTGTGGGCTGGTTTGCATCCTCACCTCTGTAGGGCTGGGATGTGTATTGGGGGGGCATTTGCCCAGGGAAGGGGGCATTTGGGAGCTTTCCAAGAATAGTGCCCCTAGGTCAGTCACTTCCTCTGCAGATTGTGACTTTGTTTTGAGCATGTGGCTTCCTCAGGGGCTGTGGTCCCTCACAGGAGCCCAGTAAGGTGGACAGCTTGTGTTTGGGTTCCCTACAGCCCTTCAGGCAGTCACTGGAGCCCAGCTGACCTTGCCTGGAAAGGGGGCTGTGGGAGGAGGCACCTTTGTCCTCCATTTCAAAGGCACAGGGTCCTGGCTGGCCTCCCTGGTGGTGGCCCTTTTTAGCACTCCATAACCCCAACAGGTTGTGACGCAGGGAAGGCTGGGGTGCAGGAGCCTGGGCAGTCGGCTTCTCTGCCACCTGGATAATGGCCAGAGTGCAGTGAAGCCCTTAGTCTGAAGTGTCACTCCCGTCCCCACCCACGGCCCTGTGATCCCTGCCAACCATAGAAGCAAACGTGCACACTGTGCAGGCCTGACCAGGAGCCTAGGGTCTCCTTTCCTTCTCCCTCCCCTGGAATGAGGGAAGGCTGGGACTGGGGTGGCCACTGAGAACAGATGTGCCTACTCTGGCACAGAGGATGCTATGTGCCCTCTAGGACCTGGACACAGCTGCACCCATGTCAGAGGCTAAACCTGTGCCAACAGTGCCCATTCCTTCAAACGCCAGCTCCGTGGGCAGGCCATGGGCAATGCACACTGCAGGGGTGCCTCTCTGGCCTTCCTCTTGCACTGCCTTGTGGGGATCTGTCCCCAACACCCCCCCACAAACACACACCAGGACTGTCTTGCAGTTGAATCAAACCAGGTTCAAACCTCAGCTCTTCTCCTCACTACCAAGTTACTGAGTGCCTAGAGCCTGTTTCTTTCCCTTCGAGCTGAGGTCTCACCTCCTGGGGTTCCATGACGTGGATCTGTGTGGTGGGGACAGCCACAGGCAGCATAGTGTCTGGCACCCCACAGGCGCTGTTCTGTGGATGGGAGGCTCCCTCACCTTGTTCCCTCCCCAATGGTACCAGCAATTGGATGTGGTTCCTATATTCCCAGGAGGAGATTCTTTGAAACCTTTTCTTTTCTGAGCCCCTGAGCCTGTTCTGATGCCCTGATGCCATACCCTCACCACCCCAGCCTCCTCCCTGCCCTGGGCTCTCACTGACAGACTCCACCTGGCCTCGTGCCCCTGCACCTGAATTCGAAGGCTGCACCAGAGCCATCCTTCCCCTGCCTCCAGTCAAAGCTGTTCTTCCACCAGTGCTGGCAGAGGCCAGCGGTCTTCTCTGGGTCTACCCCAGTCTTCAAAGCCTCCCAAAGAGAAGTTTCTAAAACCTCCCCAGGACCCTTTTCCTAAGAATTCCCTCCTCTACCCCATACCTTTGGTCTCAAAAGGGTGGTGGGGAGGCCGCCCTCCGTTCTCCGCCCGGTTCATGGTCTTGTTGTTCTCCAGCTCTGGTGGAGGCTCGGGGTACTCTCCCAGCTCAGGGATGATTTCCGTGGCATCGTTCTTGAAGGCCTGCCACCCCTGGCCCTCCACCACGCGGAAGGCTGCGTGCACCAGCAGGCAAACGAGACACAGGGCTAGAGGGAGCTGCATGGTGCCAGCCAGAGGAGGGCACGCAGCCTTCCAGTAGCACAGGCTCTGGTCCCCAGCTGAGACACGGTCGCCTTTTTAAAGCCCCCCTCTGCCTCATGCCAGCCAATGAGGACAGGCTGGGGCAGGGCTGGTCCCCTGTTTCCCTCAGCCCCGGGTTGGGGGGGGAGAGAAAAGGGTGTGCTCAGAGCAAACCCTCCCTAAAGACTTCTCCTCTAGCTCAGCAAACTTCCAAATTGCTACTGGCACTCCCAGGTGACCCAGAGAGAGGGGGCGTGTGAGGCTTGGCCCAAGCCTGCTCTCCGGCACCTCCCACGTGCTGGCGGCTGTGGTTTTCAGATATCAAAATGAGCTCCGGCTTTTAATTGTCCCTGGGCCCTCGGGCATTCTCAAAACAAACTGTGGACCCATTCAACAAAGAAAGTATGCAGTTCCGAGTGCTTTGCAGGGCTGAGCCCAGCCTATTCCATTTCTCAAGCCAAGTTCATTTGTTACCCCACCAACAAATGGCCCAAGGGGTGTCTGTTTGACCCCCATAGACCCAGCCAGAGGCAGAAAGATGCTTTTTAAGAAATCCCATTGGCCCCAACTCCACGAGTCTCAGCATTGACTGTCCTGACCAAGGAAGCCCCTCTCTTGGCATTTTCTAGAAGGCAAGAGAGAGAATTAGAGGGCCAGAGTAAGGGTGGCCACTTGGGAGAGGGGACAGGACTCTGGTTACAAGTGGAGGATGTGCTGGTCATTCAGGCTCCCATGATGCGGCTCACAGAGGAAATCCCAGCTCATGCTCCTCGGGGATTCTGTGTACCGTGACAGGCATTTCCGAGCCAGGACACTCACTGTGGCTCGCAGTGGGATGGGCTGAAGACAGTCATTTCCCAACCAGGCTGTGGGTGCGAGCAGATAACACCAAATTCCTTTCCTCAGCAAAAGCTATGGCCAGCATTTCTAGTGCTGACATTTTTTTTTCTCGCCTTGCAGCCGCTTACATTTTTCAAAAACAGTTTGAGTCCTACATGGAAAGTTTCATTGGTGCATACCACAGGTTGTGTTCCATGAAGCCATCCCAGGACCAACCAGTCACAAAGAAGCTAAGAGAAATTGCCACCTTGGCTCTGCATAGAATGAAGGGCACAGGGCTGGGGGCCAGGTAGAGGCAGTGGGGAGAAAGGTTCACACCTGAGGTGCAAGAATAGAAAGGAGGGTTGGAGGAGGCTTTCATTGAAGACAGATTGTTTGAGGATGAGCAGCTCCTGGGAAGAGACGGCCCAGATCCTCCTGGTATTTTAACTGGGCAATGAATCAGTTTCATTGATTCATTGAAATCACCTGCAGACCCTCTGCAAGGCCTTTGCCACCTGCCTCAGCTTGCAAGTGGCTGTGTCCATCTGCAGCTGACTGTCGTCCTTTCCATCATCCATCACCCGACACATGAATGCAGCTGCTCTGACAGTTTTACAAGCCAGACAGAAGCCCCCTCAGGAAGGGCCCTCTCTGATACCTGCTTCCTAAGTCAGTTTCCTTTGGGGCAGATGAAAACAGCTGTGGCCATTGTTGGGGGTGATCTATCTCTCCCAGCAGAGCCGGTAGTGTTGTGAGAAGCTGGCCCTCCACACCCCCTCTCCTTGTCTGACCATCCAGCCTCCTTTTCCCTTGCTCTGGAATGTGCACTGTTAACCCTCTCGTGGCCAGACAACTGCCTTCTTGCAATGGACTTGCGAGAGAGCAGTTCTGATGCCTGGGTTCCTTGAGCAGATAGGATGGGTGCTTATAGCCCCACCTGCTGTTGGGAGCAGCTGGACCATTTGCATTAGAGACAGCAGGATCCATCCCTGGAACACGTCTGCCACCTGCTGGAGACAAAAGGAAGGGCGATTCTTCAGTCATAAGGATGGTAAGGCCCAGGACTGGGCATGATTTCCTTTCCTTATTTTATTTGGAAGTGAACTAATATTAAATGAAAAAAGAAGACTCCAGTGGAGTCTTTGAACCTCTAAATGACCTCCACCCCTCTGAATGGCTCAGCAAGAACCTGCTGTGATATCTTGTGCCTTTTCGTTTAACGTGAAGTCATCGACAGCCGTTTGGTCTTAGTCCACAAACTTGGCATTGTTCACAGTATTCCCTGGAATTATTTAGCTGATTCCTATTGTGAATAGTTTGGGTTATTTCCAATTTTTTCTTATTTTCAGCAAGGCTACTATGAGCATCCTTGTATGGTTTATTTTTTATTTTTTGAGACAGACTCTTGCTCTGTCACCTAGGCTGGGATGCAATGGCACAATCTCAGCTCACTGCAACCTCCACCTCCTGGGCTCAAGGATTCTCTTGCCTTAGCTTCCCAAGTAGCTGAGACTACAGGGGCGCACCACCACACCCAGCTAATTTTTGTATTTTTAGTAGAGACACGGTTTCGCCATGTTGGCCAGGCTGGTCTTGAACTGCTGACTTCAGGTGATCCGCCTGCCTCTGCCTCACAAAGTGCTGGGATTACAGGCGTGAGCCACTGTGCCCAGCCTCAGTAACTTTTTAAATTAAAATTTTAAATTTGAATATAATTGTATGTTTTAAATATACTTGTAAGAAATAAATACAAACCTGGGCAGCGTGGTGAGACCTAATCTCTACAAAAAATGTAAAAATTAGCTAGGCATGGGGTCACATACCTGTGGTCCCAGCTACTCAGGAGGCTGAGGTGAGAGGATCACTTGAGGTTGAGGTTGAGGCTGCAGTGAGCACAATTGTGCCACTGCACCCCAGCCTGGATAACAGAGTGAGACCCTGTCTCAAAAAAGAAAGAAAGAATACAGACTCCATGTATTCATATCCAGTTTTCCCCAACAATAATGCCTCACAAAACTATAGGACAATATCACAACTAGGATATTGACATTGACACAATTTGCCAATCTTATCCACATCTCCCACAGTGTTACCTGGACTCTGTGCATGCACACGCATTCATATGTGTGTATACTTAGTTCTTATGCAATCTTGTCACGTGTAAATTTGGGGATCCACCAATATAAACCACAGCTCTGTGACCACAAGTCTTTCTCTGTTACCCATCTCCCTCCCTCCCACAACTAACCCCTGGCAACTACTAATCTAATCTCCATTTCTGTCATTTTTGTTTCACTTCAAAAATGATACATATATGCACCCAGGCACAGTGGCTCATGCCTGTAATCCCAGCACTTTGGGAGACTGAGGCAGGTGAATCACTTGAGGTCAGGAGTTCAAGACCAGCCTGGCCAACATGGCGCAAAACCCTGTCTCTACTAAAAATACAAAAATTAGCTTGGTGTGGTGGCGCGCACCTGTAGTCCCAGCTACTTGGGAAGCTAAGGCAAGAGAATCGCTTGAAACCGGGAGGCAGAGGTTGCAGTGAGCTGAGACTGAGCCACTGCACTCTACCCTGGGTGACAGAGTGAGACTGTTAAAAAAAAAAAAAAAAGTTATATAAATGGAATAAATTTGCATGTAGCCTTTGGGGATTTTTTTTTACTCAGCATAATTTCCTAGAGGGTTATCCAAGTTGTACACATATCAGTAACATGTTCCTTTTTTTCCTTTTTTTGGCTGAGTAGTATTCCACAAAGTAAAACAAAACAAAACAAAAAAGAAAACTTTAGATTTATTTCTAGAAGTGAATGCTGTGTCTGAGGGAGTGAAGAGTTGGTGGGTCTGATGAGGGTATTGCAGGGCTGTTTTCCAGAAAACCCAGCCAGGTCCCCGCCCTCACCCACAAAACAGAGGCCCCCATAGGTGGCACTTTGCTGAGTCTGCCGTCAGTCAGTACCACACACTGGGTGGAATAAGCAACAGAAGCCGTCTCAGAGCTGGAGGTTAAGAGTGTGAGTTCAAGATGCTGGCAGAGTTGGTTCCTTCGAGGACAGTGAGGAAGGCCTTGCACTTGCCTTCCGCTGGCTGCTGAGAAGCTTTGGCATTCACTGGCTTGCAGAAGCGTTACCCCCAATCTCTGTTTTCATCTTCACATGGCATTCTCTCTGTATTTGAATTTTCCCCTTTTTCTAAGGACGCCAGGCAGATTAGGCCCAGCCTAATGACCTCATCTTAACAAATCACATCTGTAACAGCCCTGTTTCCAAATAAAGTCATAAGGTACTGTGCCTTATGACTTCAATATATGCATTTGGGAGAAATGCAGTTCAACCCATAAACCAGACTGTTGATACTGGGTTTGGGCTGTTGACTTTTTTTTTTTTTTTAAACAGAGTCTCATTCTGTCACCCAGGCTGGAGTGCAGTGGCCTGATCTCGGCTCACGCAACTTCCTCCTCCTGGGTTCATGCAATTCTCCCTGCCCCAGCCTCCCAAGTAGCTGGGACTACAGGCTCCCACTACCACGCCCGGCTAATTTTTGTACTTTTTTTTAGTAGAAACAGGGTTTCGCCATGTTGGCCAGGCTGATCTTGAACTCCTAACCTCAGATGATCCACCTGCCTTGGCCTCCCGAAGTGCTGGGCTTACGGGTGGGAGCCACTGCACTCAGCCGATTTTTTTAAAAATTGAATAGTTGCACCTTAATTTCTAGAAAAACTGTTTTTCCATGTGATGATTTACTATCTTTTGTTTCTATCAAGTTGCTTCTTCCTATGTTCACTTGCCAAACATTTAATAAATCAAGGGAGACATGCACTCCCTCTCCAGGAGCTCGCATATCAGGGAAGAAATAAAATCTGCATCCAAACCACACTATGAGGTGGAAGGTGGTCAATGCCACTGAAAAAAGGTTCAGATGCTTTTTTCTAAAAGGACTTTATTTTTTTTCTGGAGCCGTTTTAGCTTCACAGCAAAATTGAGGGGACAGTACAGCGACTTCTCACGTACCTCCTGTGCTCACACATGTACAGCCACCGCCATTATTGACATCCCGCCACCAGAGTGGCGCATTTGCTGATTGATCAACCTATGTGACACATCATTATCCTCTGAAGTCCGTGGTTTACATCCCAGCATTAGTGTTATATGTCCTGTGGCTTTGGACAAATGTATAATGAATGACATACACCTACCATTACAGTGTCACACAGATGGTCGGTATTTTCATTGTCCAAAAAAACTATGTGCTCTGCCTGTTCATCCCTCCCCAACTTTCCCCAACCCCTGGCAACCACTGATCTTCTTCCTGTACCTTCCTTTCTGCCTTTTCTAGGATGTCATATAGAGTTGGAATCATACCTACGCACGGTCTTTTCAGATTGGCGTCTTTCACTTAGTAAAAGGCATTTGAGGCTCCTCTATGTCCTTTCATGGCATCAACAGCTTATTTCTTTTTAGCACTGAGTAATAGTCCAACCTTTTGGCATACCACGGTTTCTCTAGTCTGTCACCTTCTGAAGGACATCTTGGTTGCTTTCGAGTTCTGGCAATTATGAATAAAGGTGGTATAAACATTTTGTGCAGGGTTTATTTTTTGTTTTTTGTTTTGTTTGAAGACGGAGTCTCGCTGTCTCCCCCAGGCTGGAGTGCAGTGCCACAATCTGTTTACTGCAACCTCCGCCTCCTGGGTTCCAGTGATTCTTCCTGCCTCGGCTTCCTAAGTAGGTGGGGTTACAGGTGAACACCACCACGCTTGGCTAATTTTTGTATTTTTAGTAGAGAAGGGGTTTCCCCATGTTGGCCGGGCTGGTCTCAAACCTCAAATGATCTGCCCACCTCAGCCTCCCAAAGTGCTGGGATTACAAGCGTGAGCCATCACGCCTGGCTGTGTGCAGGTTTTTGTATAGACATAAGTTTTCAAATCATTTGGATAAATACCTAGGAGCATGACTGCTGGATTGTGCAGTAAAAGTATGTTTCGTTTTGCAGGAAACTAACCTGCAAACTGTCCTCCAAAGGGGCTGTACTATTCTGCGTTCCCCACTGAAACAAAGAGTTCCTGCGGTTCCACATCTTCACCAGACGCATTTTTTTATAAGGACAATTTTCTTATGGGTCTTCAAAGGAGAGAACAGTCTTTCTCCCCTGGGGGGGTCTGGGATCCTCATGGTAAGATGTGGTGGCATGTGGACCAGACTTTGAAAGACAGGCCAAATTTGGAAAGTGTATGATGCTCCTTTGACTTCTTGGGATTATAGAATCTTTGATCTGGAAGGAACCTCAAAGGTCATCTGGTTTCATTCTCTACTCAGTTCTGGAGGAGGCCCTCATCTCTAATTAATGGAAACTGAGGATTCTCTTTACTGGCTGCATTTTAAAACAGATTTTGCTCCAACTGGTAGGTGATAAAAAGGAAATATCTGGATTGGGAAGGCAAACTTCTGCTTTTAGGCAGTAGCCTGCATTGAGGGATGTCCAAATCACCTTGTCTTTATTTGCATATCCATACATAATGGAATGCCATGTAACTGTTAAGATGAATGGGGTAGAACTATAAAAGCATTAACTAAAATATAAGGTAAGCAAAACAACGAAGCACAGGTATCTCTGTATACACAAGTGTATGCACGTGTGTATGCTTATATATGCTTGAGATTTTTCTGGAAAGATACTTATGAGAGAGAAATTGAAGGTTTGGAACAAGTGACTTTCCCTTATAAGCCTTTTGCATTAAGTGTATTACTATGTACATACAGTATTATTTGTAACAAAAATGGTTTTAAAAACACTTTTACCTGTTTTATATTTTAGTGCTCTAAGATTTCACATAGAACCATAAAGATTACGTTGTCAGAGGTCTGACAGTGAGTGAGTCCAGTCGCTTCATGTGATAGATGGGAGCGGGAACCTCGAGGGGCTTTCTCTGCACAGACTTCTTCTGTCTGAGGGAAAAGGCACCCACTTTCTCTAAGATTTTTTATTCAAAGGAACATA